CAGCCAACTCCAATTTGGGTCCTCTCCCACCGGAGAACAGATTCCTGAGGCGGTTTCATTCAGGAACTGGTGCTCTGAGACGCCCCTCGTTGCTGTTTAGAGGTTCAGAACATCTTTCGAGGCTTCTATCAAGAGGTCCGAGAGCTTGCTTGTCAATAAAACGAGTGATTTTTCCGTTCCAAGGGGAGCTTGACCGGCCATCATCTCCAATGTTGTTGGGGTGATGCTGCTGCTAGAGGGTCTACGAGAAGAGAGTGGGAAAATGATGGCAGTGATCTTTGCTGTCTTCTCCGCTCACGGGATTGGGCGACCCTTACCACGTAGATGTTCGCCAAGTCTCGGCTTGTCTCTTCCGCGCTAGGCTTCATCTACATACATCCACAATTCACATAAGAAATCATCAGCGACCCCTCTCCGCTGGAGCTTGGAACGTTGTCTGTGCGGGAAGGTCATTGAGACTCGAAGGATGCGTCTTCGGTCTGTACTAGCCTTCGGCACAGTCCAGAAGTCTAGAATGATTACTCTTCTTCGATGATGCTCCCATGGTTTGAATGTGCCATGGGCGACAGCCCATCGGTTTTATGGAATGGACCAAGGCCCATTCGAGTATGCCCGACGAACGGACTTCGCGTTGGACCGTTCACAGGGATCTAGCAACCGGCGGTCCACGTCCCGTGTCGGATTTCTGCGGCTTACGTAGTGTCGGGATGAACAGAATTGGCCAGCCTTTGCCAAGCTGTTTCAACACGTAGGTTTCATTACTCGATCTTGGTCCCAATTCGATTCAGGACTCCACATTCCGTCATTTTTTCTTCGGAACAGTGTGTTATCAGATCAATTCTTGTCTAGCAGGCGAGTGTTCTAGAGCTCTGAGCGTATTAAGTGAATATTAGACAGCTATAGGCATTCCACAAGAGGTTCCACATGTGTAGGAAGAATTGAGAAGGGCTCCACGAGAAAGAAAGTGCGGGGAACACCGTTCCATTTCACGCTCATGAACTGCAATGTCCAATATGGGTTCTTCGATCCAACCACTAAGGGCCGGGATTCTTGGATCCCTCATGCCCTCCTCCGATCGTCTGTGATGGAAGGAATTGAGGGGCATCATGGTTCCGTGTTATGTGACGTCAGGGGTTTACCTCACGGTCGTCAGCGGGATTGAGCTCTTCGCCCGGGATTCAAGGGGAGAAATCGCACGTCCCTCCGCGAGTTGCTCTCTTGGCTCATGGCTTGGATAGGAAGTGAAGGAGTTTTCGTGACTACTGCCCGAGGAATCGAGTCCGAGAATGACAGCTATCGGCATCGGCAGTTCGGGAGCAGTTCAGGGGAGTGAGACCCGAAAGTCTTGGGAAATGAAATCCGGACATGCGTTCATCCGTATTGGGGTCGTTCAACGTCAGTCGCCTCGATTTTTCGGGAAGTACAGGGGAGAAGATCTCGGTGTTCGATAGCCGCAGCTAACGTGGGAGGCGACATCGGATGCGGGCCGAAAGTCGACTGCCGAAGTATGTCGACGGAAAACCAGCTCGCGACTCGCTTGAGCATCGAATCAGTGAGAATTATGGCCGAGTCTATCGGGGTGACGGCCTTGTCGCAAGAGACTTACCAAGAAGTGTCGGAAGACGTAATATACCGATTAAGGGTAATTTTACAAGAGGTAGGGAGCAGATTTCCCTCTAGTTCTCTCCTCGATTCCCTCCCGCAGCCGGGCATCCACGAATTTCGAAGATATCTCAAGTATTGTCGGTCTGAATATTCCCAGTGGTTTCTTATAGGCTTCGAAATTCGTCTCTCACGGGAAACGCAGGAAGCTTCTGGCATCGGATTTGGACAGTGCCCTCAGAATGAAAAACGTCGAGCCTCTGTACGGATTCAGTGACCCGCACTTTATCCCGTTCCGTTTCGCGAGCGGTGGAGGTCGGGAAGTATATTTTCGAGAAGATAAAGAGATAGATCTGTGTCAATTGGTTCGTATCGCTCCTCGGAGTTTGTAGAACGAGGCATAGCAGAGGGTCCATGAGGATTGATGCGAGAGAGCTGACCGAGCTCCCTTTTGAAGATGTCAGCTCCCCTTCCGAAACTCCCCTTGGACATTTCGATAAAGGCGCATTGGCTGGCCATCGAAGGGATACAACCAACTGTTCCGGAGAACCCCCCGCTTGAACCCAGAAATCAGCAGAAACAGGGCAGTCTTGATCCTTTTTCGATAATGCAAGAGGCTAGACAGAGCGGCAAACCCCCCAGGCACTTCGAGACGGTCTGCGTCAAACAGCTTGCCACCCACGAGCTCTCCGTTGAGCAGCAGCTGTACTACAAGGAGATCTCAGAGGCGTGCGTTGGATCCGATGACTCGAGGCGCGCAGAAGCGCTGGTATCCCTGAGCTCAGATACGGGTCTGCATCAGATGCTCCCTCGTTTGTGCACATTCATTTCCGAGGGAGTCAAGCTCAATGTCGTTCAAAACAACCTCGCCTTCCTCATCTACCTCATACGTATGATCAAGGCTCTCCTCGACAACCAGAACCTCTACCTTGAAAAGTATCTCCATGAACTCATACCAGCGGTCGCGACGTGCATCGTGAGCAAGCAACTCTGCATGCGTCCAGAGGTGAGATCTTCGGGGTTTTCCGTTGGCGCGGCAGAGCTGATGGGCGGAACGGAGAGACGGTCGATGAAGTTGCGCATTCATTGCAGGTCGATAATCATTGGGCTCTCCGAGACTTCGCTTCGAGACTGATGTCTCAGATTTGCAGAAACTACAACACGTCTACGAATGGAATCCAGACTCGCATTACGCGAATTCTTAGCAAGGTGCTCTCCAACGACCACATGCCTTTGACGGCGATGTACGGAGCGGTGTCCGCGGTTGGAGAACTCGGCTCCGAAGTCGTCCGCAGTCTGCTCATACCTCGCGTCAAAGAAATCGGAGACAGACTACAACGGTGTCTGGAAGATCCAGGAGCACCACCGGAAGAGATGAAAGCCGCCGAGCATATGAAGCAGGTTCTCCAACGTGTTTTAAGTCCAGTGCTCAAATCAATCCGACGTCCGCCCGATGACCTCGATCAGTACAATGCCGAGTTTGGATACATCGGACAGTTTCTGCACGCCCAGGTAATCCCTGTCCTCCGTGAGGAAGATGCTCGCTCAGTCGATAATGATCATGGTTCTATCTGTCAGTCGAGCTCGTATCTCCCACCGAGTGGCGATCGGTCTTCGACAAGCCGGTCCCCACCTTCGTAATCAAGAGGATGGTTGAATGAATTAATTAATCACTGGCAGGTACAACGACTTCGGCAAACGCCGGTAGCTGCGAACGGAGTACAAAAGAAGATCGGCGGAGGAACGTCTCAGGGCTCCCCAAACCCTCAAGGCCCTGTCTTCACGCCCATATCGTATCGCGCTCCCCCGACAGAATGAAATCTAGAGCCACCGGCGCGCCCAAACGATGTCCTGGGGTCAGATCAGCAGATTTTGAAAAAACCGTACTGTTCTTCCGAGATTCCCTCAGCATGAGCAACTCCGGATGTTCTTGATCGGTGAGAAACATCAGCTAAAGGAGGAATTTGAATGACCCTTTCCCGAGTGAGGACGTTCTGAATGAATTCGGATCGAATGAGATCTGCGTATGACTTGAGGTTGAGGTCCACTGGATGGGGACAATGGGATCCGCTGAAGAGCAACATCGGCTGATCGGATCGTTTTTGTTTCCGGACCAAGATGCGAATCTACGGACTACATATGTCAGCCGGATTCAGTAGCGAATAAATTTTCAGTCCCGGGCACATGACCCGTCAACGGATCGTCCTCATTCGGATATATCCATGGAGTGGAAAGTCATGTTGGTGTCCAGGGAGCAATTTAACCTCATAGAACAATGAGCCGATGTGCCCGAAAATAACATTTGTGCCACACGGGCTTTTTCCGGAGATGCTGCTTGCCGACCCGAGGCAGCGACCATTCCATTCGAAGTCGAGGATTCGCCTTGAGTTCGATGTTCCCCCAAGCCGGAGTTCGACTTTTTTCAGTGATCGAAGCCCTGTATGGCGGGCAATCAAAGGAATTGCACCGGTACAAGTGTCTCGAGGATTCCCGGAGCCAAGGTTCCGAGATTCTGCGGAACGAAAGGAGTGTGCGGAACGCTAGATTGAAGAATCGGCTCACGACATCTCCCGAAGATCTTCGAAGACAAGAGCGCGACCACAGGCCTCGGCCGGGGAAAATTTCCGGGATCCTCGTATCCATATAGGATCGGGTATAGATCATTGTCATCATCAGAACCCCGATCCGGCTCCTCGATATTTCAAGAGCGATATTTTCCATCTCGCCTCCTGAGCTCTGAACTTGACTTCAAGATGGGCGTACTCGCTCCCCCATTAATTTCGAAGTCTAGCCACAACCGCTATGGAACGCGATTCAGAGGATGCGTTCATCCGTCAGGTGGGCACTCAGCGTCCGTCAGTCTCGATGAAGAAGAGGAGAGGGCGTCGCGGTGTTTACTAGCTGCTGTTGCTGTGTTGTGCTGCTGCTGGCGGTGTTCTGCGTTTTTGGTGTTAGTGTGTGTTGCTGCTTCTGTTGTTCGTGGTGCTGTTTCCTTCTTCTCCGGGCTCTCGTGGGGCTAAAATCAGATGAGCGATGAGACTCGACGAACGTAAGATGCTGGCGAAAGACCGCCAATCGAGTCAGTTGAGCATCGAATCTGTGAAGATGATGGCCGAGTCCATTGGGGTTACAGCCTTGCCGGAAGATACTTGTAGGGAAATTTCGGAAGACGTCACTTACCGACTTCGGGTCATTTTACAAGAGGTACGAAGCTTATACATGCATCTCATTTCCGGTCGTTTTCCCTGTTCTGCGACAGAATTCGAATATCGGAGAGACCTGCTCTCACTTTTCCCTGAGATTCGAAATTCGCTCGATTGTGCAATAGATTCTTTAGAGATAAATATTGGCTCCTTCGCACAACCCACGGTTCCGTGGAGCGGGCGATTTCGGCTCCGATCGCCCCTTCACCTTTCTGAATCGGTCTCTGAGTACAATGTATTCCAGGCGGTCAAGTTCACCCGTCACGGAAAGCGCAAGAAGCTCCTCACATCGGATCTAGACAGTGCGCTCAGAGTGAAGAACGTCGAGCCATTGTATGGATTCACGGACCCGCATTTCATTCCGTTCCGATTCGCAAGTGGTGGCGGCCGCGAACTATATTTCCATGAAGAGAAGGAAATTGATTTGAATGAATTGGTACGTATCGGTCGTTTCCAACATCACATTCATCTCTATGGCCCACGACGTGGAGAAATGGAATGCTCGAATAGATTCAATGATTTTGACCCAATTTCTCCCCGAAGGTGACCTTACCCCTGCCTAAACTTCCGTTGGACGTTTCGATAAAAGCGCATTGGCTCTCTATCGAGGGAACACAGCCCACGGTGCCGGAGAATCCTCCACCCGTTCCTAAGGATCAGCAGAAACAAGAGAGTCTCGACCCGCTCTCGAAAATGTGCAAGCCCCAACAGGCGGAGCGGACCGCGAAGCACGTCGAGACGGTCCGCGTCAAGCAACTCGCCACCCACGAACTCTCCGTGGAACAGCAACTGTACTACAAGGAGATCACAGAGGCATGCGTGGGCTCCGACGACTCGAGACGGGCAGAAGCTCTACAGTCCCTCAGCTCGGACCCGGGTCTCCATCAGATGCTCCCTCGTTTGTGTACATTTATTTCCGAGGGGGTCAAAGTCAATGTCGTCCAGAACAACCTCGCCTTCCTCATCTATCTCATACGTATGGTCAAGGCTCTCCTTGATAACCAGTCACTGTATTTAGAAAAATATCTCCATGAGCTCATACCTTCGGTTGCGACGTGCATCGTCAGCAGGCAACTCTGCACGCGTCCTGAGGTGAGTGAAAGACTTCACCCGGGAAGGCCTTCCACGACTCCTTCGCTTTCGGGCTTGATGCAGGTGGATCGCAGTGCTCAATCGAGTATTTTCTCTTTCCCAGGTCGATAATCATTGGGCTCTCAGAGACTTCGCCTCGAGATTGATGTCTCAGATTTGTAAAAACTTCAACACGTCGACCAACGGCATCCAGACTCGCGTCACGCGAATTTTCAGCAACACCCTGTCGAACGACCGCATGCCCTTGGCATCAACTTATGGCGCGGTTTCCGCGATCGGGGAGCTGGGCACCGAAGTCGTCCGTAGTCTACTCATACCTCGAATCAAGGAGATCGGAGATCGGCTCAAAAGGTGTTTGGAAGAGCCCGGAGTCGTATCGGGTGAAAAAAAGGCTGCCGAGCATACGAAACAAATTCTTCTGCGCGTTGTGACACCGGTATTGAAATCGGTCCGTCAACCGCCCGATGACCCGGATCAGTACAACGCTGAATTTGGATATCTCGGACAGTTTTTGCACCCTCAGGTAAGTACTAGTTTTCATGGAACGAAAATGAATCAATATCTTATCCGATCGGGAACCTTTTTGCGGAAGGCTCCATCCGCTTCTTCTTCGGAGGATTTCACTGAGCAGATTATGCTATTTTATGTTTAGGTACATCGACTCCGACAGACGGCCGCAGCCAGCTCTGCTGCGAGCGGAGTGCAGCGTTCGACCGTAGCCCTATCCCAAACGCCCCGAGCGGCTCCTCTCAGCGGGGTGACGCCCCGAACGACAACCCTACTCGCGAACACCGTGCAACCTGGAGCCCAGAAGTATGTCATCATGACGCAAGGCACAACCCAACGAACTACCTCACAGGGTCCTCGCCCCGGACAGCAGATTGTGCGAGTTGTACAAGGTAGGACCACGATAAGCCTCGAACATTGTTCTCGCATCTCTGGGGTCCTTCCGTCCCTTCCAAGCAGTCCCTTAGAGAAGCGTCAGCTTGCGACGTCGATCGATTTCTAGAGAACGTTGTCCATCTCCGCAGGTACGACGGGTACGCAGGTGAAAGCAGCGACCACACCAACGTTGGCGGGAGCTACGAAAGTTGTAGTCATGGGAGGTCAACAGAAGCAGGTCCAGTATGTGATGCAGAAGAGTTCTCCGGGTCCCCAAACTTCTACGGAAATTCACGAGATCAAGCACGAAATGCCGTAGACAACTCGGAGTGATTTAGTTAAAATAAGGTAATTGATTCACGGAAGGATGAGACATCGGAGATCCTCGGCCAGTGTCAGAGAGGATCGATCGCATCGCTCCTCGCGTTGAGAAAGTTTTCAGGACTGTCCAAATGTGACGGGAATTGAGAAAGCAAAGACAGCTCGTGTTCACTCTCGTAATTTGTGTGGCCTCCAAGGGAGGAATAAAAAGCTCTTTTTCGATGAGACATCCCGCATTTCTCTTGAAATATAGATAATATGGTTTATTCAATTTATCCAAATATATTCAACTGACTGAGACAGAACTTCTCTGGAGTCGAATCTAAAATGTTTGATCGCTCCGAGATACCCCAGTCATCCAATGGATTGCACAGATCGAGCAGCAGGCCCCCAGAAGAGAGCTTATCTAAGATTCCTTCTGAGGGTCGAGTGCCTGAAAACCCCGGATTCGTACAGCTCCATCGCGCCCGAATCGGAAGGTTGATGTGTACATGGATATCCTTAGATCCAACCGTACCATCGAACTACATTTCAGATGGAGGTAGGAAATTCGAAGGACAGATCCTGCCGCGTGTTCCATCGCGGAAACCGCTCCTCTCGGAGGTAGACTGGAGAAAAACTTTGTGGGACCAGTGATTCCCTCATTCCACGGAATGTTTACCTCCGCCAACATCGACGTCAGGCGAACCGGCTTGGTGCCCTGAGGTGGCAGGTCAGCCCCATCAGGGCTCGTCGGCTAATATCGACAACGGAATCCATCAGTCACAGATGCAGGACCAGAGTTGTTGGAGACAGCTCGACGTGTCCTAAACGGGGGAAAAGTTCTCACTCTTGCGCGGCCGAATTGGAGGTCGTGTCCCCGAATCTCCTAGGGGCACACTCGGAGGTCTATGATGTAGCCACGCCCGCGCCTCTCGAAACCCCCATTGGCGTCGTGTTGTCCGAGACTAATCGCACACTGCCGTCTTCCTTTTTCCTCGGGAATGCTCTGCTCGAGCGGCCTCACCTCGGCAACTCTGCAAGCCCGGTCCTTCGTTCTCTTGAAAGGACCGGATTCTCCGGAGTTGTCTCATAGACTTACTGCATCTCGAATCTCGACCGATATAGTCGCCCGCGGCTCGGGAGGGACGAAACAAGAAAACTCCGTCAGGTGGAGCCACCTATACCACTTTTCAAGACAGCCGTGTATTACCATGATATACTGCACTCTACACCATCGAGGAGCGAGGAGGATGAGAGGAACGACGAAGAAGAATCCAGACTTTCTCGGGGAAACGCGGGCGAGACTACACCACTCCTAGTATTCGACAGGCGGGGCTCAATACAATAAATGAGCAGGGAATCTGAGATGCTGCCGATCGACGGAACTTCGTGGTTGACTCTCTCCGTGCCATCAATGCCAGGAATTAATTACGAGTCAGCCACCGAGAGATTCTCTGCATTTCTCACTTCTCAACTTATGCAGGGTCTCTGTGGATTAATTGAAAAAATATCGACTGAGTCTCCACATTCATCCCGATCCCTCGCGGCTCTCAGGAATGTAGCTGTTCCCGCTATCTCCGACGCAGCGCATTCAAGCATTCTCTTCCCGCAATCGTACAGAGGGAGACTGAAATCACCATGCAGAGTCACCGGTGGAGGTCTCATGCTGACAGGAAGAGACTGTTCGCTCGAGGTCGTGGAAAAGTGTCTCTACGGTGACGGTAGGTAACTTCGATCACCCTGACGGAACCGTCACATCCGCGGCGAATATCGACCGAGTGTCGACTCGGTCACCGGCTGCTACGTCCCGCAGGGGCTTTACTTTTCCAGACTCGGTACAGTGGTCGGGAAGTCAGGCCAAGTTCCTGAGGGCAGCCTTGAAAATCATACGATTGCGAGGAAAACATCTTGTGACTCATGTTAATGTTAGACAGATAAAAGATAAAAAACATCCTAACGGAGAGGAACGTCACTGATCATGCGGCCGCTTACATCGGATAGATAACTGGATTTGGTTTTCGTTGACCGCTGACCGTGTTTCTATCGGGACCTGCTCGCATTTTTTTGTCGGGGACCTGGCGGTCAGATCCGGTGAAAACGGCCTGGTGTCGGGTAGGGTCGCACATCCGCGAGCGGGAAAACGATTGAGATATTCTGTTTGCCTGAGAGCCCTCGATCTCGGGCTCGTATTACGCAGATAAGAAGCAATCGATTGACAGCCGACTTCTGCTCCCGATCGCATGAAGATTCCCGAGTTGGAAGCGATGGAATCCCACTTGATTTGAGGTGACGAAACATGTCCCGAAAACGTCGTCGCCGAGGGGGGCGCCCACGGAATCGAGCGTCATGCAAAGGCTCGGGCAACGAAGATGAAAAGACAAAACTTATTCGTGATTAGGGTCATAATCACTGGAGACATCGAACATGATATGAATGAGGGATTATTATTGGTGGACAGGAGGCACACTTGTGCCCACGTTCGTTCTACAACCTCGCTCCTACTACCGAGAAGCCATGGGGAAGCCCCGGACGATTCTGTATCTAACGCAAGACCGTCGGCTTCACAATCATTTTTTTCAGACTTCACGGGGAAAAAAATCGATTTGGGTGGATTCACACTGATAAGCATATATAGCTCATCGGCCGACCCAGGACGGTGCGAAGTGGAAATAGTCATGAGTGAGAACAATGTGAACGATCGCCATGGAGCGGCGGCGGAGATGGTGGGGACGCTGGCGGCAGGGACGCTGGCGGCAGTGTCCTCTTATATTTTTTCCTTTTGTCGTTTTTTTCTTTCGTCGCTGTTTTGCACTCGTTCTCCCGCCTTTTTCTCCCTGGACTACAGCCGTCGCTGTTAGGCACTGCTGCGGTGACGGTGGTGGCTGCAGCGGCATCAGAAGCAACGACGAGAAAGGAAGAAGCGAGCGAGCGAGATAGAGGGAGCGAGAGAGGAAGAGGGAGGGAATTTTCTTTTTCTCTCAATGTCTCCGTAGTCCTCAGGGCAGTAGTGCAGGGGCGGGTTGTGTGCGAGCGTGCGGCTGTTTTTTCCACGACACTCCACCTATAAGGGCCGCCTCCTCTCGGTGGGCGGAGTTTCGCTCCCGATTCGGGCGGGGCTTCTAGTAGTCGAAGAGACAACATGGCGGCACTCCGCAGGACTAGCTTCGACAGTGATGGACAGGAAGCGCGCTGCTTCTCCCTCGCTGAAAAACAATAAGACGGTTCTTTAGATTCCGCAGTGCAAGTCGAACATCGGAACAGTGGAAGCGCAGGCGACGACGACAACTTTCGGAGGTTCGACCTACTGGCGAGAAGTCCTCCAGTCAACGCAGCGAGCTTTCACGCAACGTCAGTGACGGGATGGGCGATTAAACTCGTCAGCAACTCCCTCGTCCGTAAGAGCGCGTGATCTTTGATCCAGGGACTCTTCGAAGAGCCCCTCCGCCGATTGATCGCCCCACAGAATCCCCCGCCCCAGTATTCGATACTTTGGCGCGACTCCTTCCATTGATCAATCGTCACCCTGTTCTTCGGTGCTTCATCATCAAACGGTCGAGACCGACTAGTTCCGCGCGCCCATTCTCCTTCTGGGAAGCTCCGACTGGCGGTCAGGAGTCGTTAACAGGACAGTGCCCAGATCTCCCGTCTTCAGTCTCTATGGATTCTACAATTCTACCGTAGGTGAGCAAGAAGGTCGTGCGGGGAGACAGACTCCGATTCAAATGACTCTCCGCGCAGGCTTCCGAAGCAGCGAGCCCTCAACGAAGGAACTCAGCGAGGGAGAATCGTGACGTGGTAGTGATGGTGAATGTGTTCGTGTACAGCGTGGAAATCGAGTGAGATCAACATACGGTGGAAATAGGGAACGGAAGAGACGCCTAGCTGTGAGAACTCATCGACACTCAGTTCGCCCGATACGAACTCTCGGATGCAACTCAGAGGTGGTCGAATTCGAGACGTCGTTTAACGTCCCAAGAGCCCAGGCGTAGCGACCGAGATCAATCGAACAAACTGGACGACGGGACCGCATTCAGACGAGCCTTGTCCAAGTGAAGGTCTCGCCGAGCCCAGGAGGGAGACGGAACGCTCCCGGGACGCTTCAGTGTAAAATAGGAGACGAAGTTTCGTGACGGGCGGGCGCCTCGGGCCCCGCTAGAGTGGCGTACTGGCTTGCCTAGCACTGGGAACCCTGGGGAGTCTCGCCGATTGGGGAGGGGATCTGAGCCTCCCGCACAACAGAGACCCCAGGGAGCTCCCCAGACTGGACGGCCTGGACGCCCATCACGACCTGGACTCCCACAGTCCCCATAGAACGGGGGACAACGGCAGTGCCAGAGGACCGATAGGTGGAGGCAACGCTGCCAATATCGGCAACGGTAACGCCAACATCCTCCACGGGGAGGCCCGACAGCAACTCGGCAAACTTGAACTGCTCGTTGATCTCCATGGAATGAATGACAGGCAAACGCAAAGTAAGTTGAGCTCCGATGCTGACCCAAAACAGGTACTCATTCAGGTGTACATATTCACCAGTCTCCGAGTCCGAGTCTCTAAGGTGTCAAGCTCGGAAATCTGTATCCTCGAGTCGTTCCCGTTCAGCTGGAACTTCTAGAGACCGTGTCGAAGAGAAGGCATGAGGGTCTCTGTCTGTAACTTGATTATCGTTCGAAAACGCATTCGATCTCGCGAAGAACCTAGCTCTCTGTACATAGGGTGAACTGGCTCGCGAGCGCACGGTCTTAGTCAATGCGACGACGATCTTCCTCGATTTCGACGGGAAAGTGTGGCGCCTTCAGAGAAACCTCCGCTGCGCGTATGCTCGTCGAGATAAGGGCTTTGACTTTGTCACGCTACTCGTCACCACTCCAGACGTAATACAATTCATTTTCGATCTCGCTCGTGTCGTGTCGATCTCCGAGTGAATAAAATACATGCATATCACTTGCCAACCCGCTGACCTTGCCAATGGACTGGCCACGCACATCGGATCTTCCACGCAAGCGGTGACTGGGTGTTCGTGGGACCATCGGTGATTGGATCATCGAACTTCGACCTACAGTTCGGTCAATCTGGTCTCGCTCGAAAGTCCGAACGTCCTTGGGGACGTTTGGAAATAGCTACCTAGGTACCTAATGGTTAATATGAGTTGCGCAAAGCATCGATGTCTTCCGAGCTCCGAGCGCTCGTTGGATATCTGCGACGATTTCCACGACTTTACAATAGCCAGCTGCCACTTGTGTTCCCCGTAATGCATGAGTGCACTGGAGGATTAATGCATTGTCGGGCTGATTGTCACCGTCTTCATTGACCTAGCAGTCGTTCGAATCCTTCCCTGTCAGTTCTTATTGATTTATTGCTTAATAAGAGATTCAAGCGAGGCAGAAAGCGATCTCTTCTGCGTTCGTATCGTTGCATCCGAAAAAGACGCTCGTCCAGAGAGCCCATCGTGTGGGCCCGAGTCCACATCGATGATGAGCACACACGGAACTGTCTCAGGTTTTTCTTTTCCTGTCTCGCTCAGTTTCGCCTCGCAACACTCTCGGAGCTAATCCAGCTCTCGAGATAGAAGTGTTCGCAGCTTGTGATCGCTTTTCCCGCTGATCCACTGCCTGAGGCAGCAGCATAGCTCAGGGTGAAGCCTAGAAACTCTCGAGTGTAGCACGTGCGAACTCCCAGGTACTCGAAGCAAGCGTTCTCCATCTCGTGACAGCTCCTTGGTCAGATTTTTCGCAACGTTACTCTACTTGATGTGTGCCTCTCGATCCAGTTCCACAGTATGTGTTCCAAGAGGACGAGCCTGCCCCGAGGTTTCGAATCCTCCGCCAGAATCCGAGTATCTCTTTCGAAAGGGAAGGAAGTAGATTTCACACCACTCGCCAATGAGTAAGAGCCCGAGTCGCCCGCAGTCTGCTCTCGCAGGGAAAGTGAAAATCTCTGCTGGGAACCAGTCGTCGCCGGTTCCTCACGGATTCGATTCGTGTGGCTCTGATTATGAGACAGCATAGCAGACGAGCCAGGTCGGATGAGATTGGAAAAGATCGAAGTCAAATCGAAATGGCCTGAGGGCCCTCGGCATCAGACGTCTTCATCGTCCGAGGGATGCTCTGTGAGATATTCAGGAGCATATCGGATCACCCAAGGCCGGGGATCCAGAGAATGCCGAAAGATGCCGAACACGAAATTCATTGTTGATCTCGTGTTTTGTTAGTGCTGTACTGTCTATCGAACAGTCGCCCTCAGAATCTCGTTGATCCATCCGTACAGACATATCTATCCGAGCATTGGTTTGTCGAAATGTATTTTGTCTCGGACTCGCGTCTTGTCTAGGAAGTCCGTTTCGAAGTGGAATCCACTTGTATGAATATTCAGCAGCTCTCACACTCACATCTGTCTGCGCCATTGTTGAGATACGTTGGATACCTTAACGGAGCATGGTTGTACTCACATCATGCCGCTGTGGTCACGGATAATGCCTAAATACACTACTTAGCCGCTACAGTGGAGAGACTGTCGCCCGGCCGTCCGACCGACCGACCGACGGAGCGGAGAATGGCCGACGAGAGGAGTTAGCGAAGAGACTTAGTCAGGCGAAAGATCAACCTACCAGCCAACCAGCGTTTGATAGTTTCTGCGCCCAGGAAGGATTTAACGCTGCGGTGCCTCCGCAGAGGATCCGCGAGAGCCCATGTGTTCGGTTTAGACCAGCCAGACTTCGTAACGTTCGAGCTCCGTTCAGTCGGCCGGATAGTCTCACGACCGACTGGCTTGACGCGGGATTTCACATCAGCATCGCGCTTCACGTTTGGAGTCGAACACTCGACTCGAAATGCTCGAAACCAGTCGAGCATCTCCTCGAAACATATCAACACGAAAAGCGAGACGGGGTGCATTTACTCAGGAGGTGCTAGCAATCGGACGATTATTCCCGTCGTCGCAAAGAAGCATTTTTAATAGAACACGCTCGTCATCGGCCCATTCAGAGCCTGGGTCTCGCTTTCCTGTGCGCCGCCTCCGGAGTCTCATCAGCTGCCGGCTTCGTCCCGATCATTCATCATGAAGACGTCGGCTGGAGAATTCTTCCGAGAAGCACGAATATCAGGCACACATCAGACGTACGAACACCGGTGCCTGATTTTATTTCCGTGGGTCTAGAGAATTGGCTCTTTCGTCAAATGAGTCTTGCACACACGAAACGCTATACGATTCTGAGCTTCCCATTGTGTCGCACACGGGACGTCTCCACGAAAATCAGAGGAGATGCGAAGACCACCAGGATCTCCTCTATCTTATCTGCGCACAAGGATAACACGAGAACGCTCCTTAATCGACATCCTGAATTTGGTGCGAGGAGGCATAGTGTCGGTACGGTCTCCCGTTCTCGTCCCTGTCTCCTTGTCGTCCCGTCCGTCGTCCTTTCGAACTTCCGAACTCTCTGAGTCTCTGAGCGATTCCTACTTTCGAGAGCCTCTCTGCGGTCAAGGCAGGCACATGTCAACCATAATTAGAAAGGTCATTGAAATTGCGAGCAGTGTGGGAAACTACATCAGTCTGAGCAGCTGACGGCGCGATGTCACGCTCTGACGCCGAGACAACGCGCTACGACAGCCTTTTTGTCCAGGCACGACAAGGCTGCATTCAATCGCTCGACACTTTCGCATGAATGTGATGACTGTCAGCCTGTAGATTACTATCAAGAGCTCGGTCTTTTGTGAGTGTTATTCAAATGACTACAATTATTACACAGGATAAAACCTTATTCCGGATCCCTCTGAATGAGGATTTCGGTGATGATTTTCGGTGAGAGCTCGTGATTCCGGGCTCCTCTCCGCGTAGGTCGGGAACCAAGAGCGCCGCAGAGCCACGGTCTGCCCCTGACGCGCCCACAGATCGGAGCCGAGAGGAAAAGATGCGATGCATAAGCTTCTCAACCTCCGTGAGATACATCTTGTTCACCCCCACGATTCTTTGTGGGGACTGCTCTGGCCTTCAGAGTAGTCTCCGAGATCTCCGAGATACCTGCCCCTGATTCCGAGCTCATCATTGTTGGCGGAGCTTTTGTGACCTCTGGCCCGAGATGTCCGAAAGTAGGAATCCAATACTAAACGTGCTCCGGAATCTGGCTCCGCTTTAACCTGTTTGACTTCGGAAATACATATATCCATATATATGGGGTGATTCTCACGTATGAAGACATTTCCCGAGCTCCTGCCTGCGACTGCCCATTTTCGCCGATGCGATGCCGATTTTCGGGGAGGAAGCTATCCCATTACCCATTAAGAGCTGTCTTTCTTCGAATGTCCGTGATTCGGAATCAGATATCTTTTGATTCTATTTGGACATTGATCCTGACAGCTCACGGAACCCAGCCTCAGAGCTCGTGCGATCTTGAAAAGAGATAAATATGGCAGAACACGGTCTATTAGGCTACTCTCCGATGGAGGAGAGCAACGAGGGGAGGACGACAATGACGAGTCCCTATGTTACTTCAGATTCGTCGATGCCTCTCTGGGACTCGCGGTGCGGCTTGTGCCTCTTCGGTTCTCGTTATGACGGGGCCATTTTTCGAGAGAGTGGTCTCTCAATCTTCTCCTTCAGATAAAAAAAAGTTGCAAATAGATGCGCTCGTCCGGGATGAGGGCCATAAAAGCTTCAAGGCTCCTCTCAGTGAGTGAGAGCTTTGCTCTCTCTGATGCTGGAGCCGGTCTTCTTTCCCGCCGAATAATATTTCACTTCATCATCATCAGCATCATAATCCAGCGCCCTTGTTGGCCGACGCAGGCCATTCTACGTGGGCCATTCATGAGATCCCGAGTTTGAACAGGAGCGCGAGCATCCAAATCAACCAACAAGGGTTCGACTGGACGATAAAAAGAGCCTTCTGAAGAGTCTTGTTCTGATCGAATGAATCGATATCCTCTGCACATCGGAGTCCTTCCCGGCGAGAATTCGCTGACCCCGAAACATTCGGTTTTGGATCCGCTCGCAGAATATCCTTGTTCTGCAGAAAGCCGAGAAAGGCTTCACAATGTGGCCCTCTCCGCTGGCCTACGTGATCTCTGGAATGTGTCGGAATCATGCGGTGTGTGAAACACGACTAGAGAATCCGCGCACTCGGAAAGAAAAACCTAGGCGATGGAGTCAGCAGTTTCAAGCCGAGGAAAAATACCGCTCCCAGTGTGATATGTAGATGTCACCTGAGAAAAAGCCTCGCGATGAAGAGGGAACTTCAACAGAGCCCAGCAAGATAAACAATGATTAGCATGTAGCCGGATGAGCCTCAAGTAAATATAGAGGAGCCGTTCTCCGGGGCACGAACTCTAATGCGAAGCATTGGGATGAAGTCGCTTTCGAAAATCGACCCCGAGCCCGCATCCCGGCTCTGCACGTCGTGGACTCCGTTCCTTTCGTCGACTATCACCCATAGAACGATAATAATCGAAATTGGACCGAAACTTAATGTTCTCTTCGACTAGATCGTCCGACTACAAAACTAAGCTCTTCCTTTCCTTCCAGTCTGTATGCAGGAGCGACGGTGTGGAAACGGAATATCGCTATGCGTCGGATGCGGGTCACAAATTCAGGATCAGTATATATTGCGAGTCAGCCCTGATCTGGAGTGGCATGCAAGCTGTCTTAAGTGTGTTGAGTGTCTACAGTTCCTCGACGAGAGCTGTACCTGCTTTGTGAGAGAAGGCAAAACCTACTGCAAGAGTGACTATCACAGGTGAGTTCTCCAACATGATTAGCTCTGTCGCTCGCGAATTACTGCTCGAGAGGAGAGGAAAGCCTTCCTCGTTCTACGATTCGCTCTCTCGTGTAGGTAGGCGAATCCATTGGGTTCGGATTGGAGCTCTGCGTATAACCTCAAAGTTCGTAGAACCTCGTACAGTGTCGGATATCTTTGAGTTCTGAAATGTGACACCGGCCATTTGATACTGGTTTTTGCTCTGATTGAACTTAACCCGCGGAAGCTTCCCCGGTGATTGTTTTGAGACTTCCTCGAGAACACCGGAAACGTCTTCTCTTGGTCCCGAGAGACGATGCGACTACCGCGCGATTGAATTAATTTCCGGAAAATTCACGCGATTGCTTCATTCCTATCAGCGACTCGCTCAACCGAGCACGCGACGTCATCCTCATCTGCGAACTGCTTCGTAGCAGTTCCCAATCTATAAGTGCGTCTCCTCACGAGAGAAACACGCGGGCGGGTGGCGTTTCACCACGCCAAAAAATCCGAGGTCGACCCTTTGCGGAATTTGACCTGTCATGACAGATATTGGCCGTCAAAGGCCTCAGGATCGCTACGTAATTCTTGGAGGACCAGAGTGGCTGCAACGGATCCTGTGTTTGACGTAGACGATGACGTGGACGGACTCGCGCTCAACGTTCTGGCGTTTCCCAGTCGCTTTGTTTGCGTGTCGCTGTTTTTCGATGCTTCTGAGACCGCCTTGCCGGCCGGCCGGGCCTACCCCTCTCTCTCTCGTGAATGATGAGCTCTTCACCTGAAATTTTCAACATCGGCGTCGAATGAGTGACGAACGTGGTCGCGTCGGGGTCAATATCAAACGTCGCCTGTGACGACGACCTTCGGCGAGATTTGCGGCTATTCTGCACAGAAGCCACGAGTGCTCAGAGCATGTATGTTTCGCTACTTCCGAGATGTCTAACGAAGATAAGAGAGCGCCAAAGCAGACTGTGCGTAGAATGGGGAGGGTGGAACATACACGCAGACACACACGGGCGTATAATCTAATAAGGAGCCGCCGTTTTGGGGGAGTCACACTTTTTAGCACAGCCAAGACTCGCCAGTGGAGGAGCGTAATTGAATAAAAACCCTGCGATGCTCGGTCATGACTGCACCTGACTTCCATTGTAACAACACATTTCGAGCAGTCGAGCCCCATCCTTAAAGGGGTTGTGAGCTCAGAGCCAAAATGTTTTTTGATGCTAGGACTCTACCCTTGGAATTCCGTAGAGCTCTCCGCCAACAGCCACCGCTCGACCTCGACTCGATAGCCGGGAATCAAGCGCCCGCTAAGGCGATCTCAGCGAGCCGAGACAAGCATCGAGAGCTAGAGGGGCTAAGCGCGTTTTCCCACCGAATCTCCTAAAGCCAATTGATCCACGTATTGAGTGAGACGGAACGGGACGTCTTTATCCGTCGACCTCGAAAATTAGATTGAGAACTCGCGACGAGAGATCCACCATGAGGCTTCTGATCATCTGTTAGCCGGTCGAGAGACATAAGGCAGTCGTCCGACTTGTGGATTGGCATACGGTCTGCGAGATAAATTAGCTCCAAACTCCTTAATATGGTGTGCACGCGACTTCGACGCGTGACACAGACCTCAGCTAATGACGCTGCGCGAGAGCTGACAGTTAATGCAAAACTCGAATTCCCGTAGAGAAGCCTCGGGCGACATATCCTCAATTCGAGCTCTTAGCTGCGGGTATCCATATTTTTTTCCGTTGGGGGAAGCGTTGTTGGCGCCACTTTTTGCCCGTGAGTAGCTTTGATTGGTGCGGTTCAGATCGTGATGAAATTCTACACGTCGACGGCGGCTGCAATTAAGAGGCGTGACAACGCGACAATGGAGCGTTTAGCGGGTTTTTGTAATTGGACTTTCCGAGGCTGTTCCCGACCTAGGAGAGAGGTCCCTCGATGAACGAGGGGAACGGCTAGACGAATCGTCCCGATGCGTCGACGGTTCTCCAAGTCCACTTGACCTGTCTCATGGGATGTACGTTGAAGGATTTTCTGGCTGTGGCTATGCTCGCCGAATTTCCTTATCAGATCCTCCGCGACCGCACCTATTTTGAACTCTGATCCGTGCACCTCTTGATCAATCTCCTGGCGCCGCTTCGTCCGTGTGACTTCTGTTCAAGCTCCTTCCGCTCCGGAGTGAATTATTTATTGAGCAGAGGAAAACTGACCGACTCCGGAACGAGCATCTCTCGCTGGTGGGCAGCCTAGCAGGCGGCGGCGGTGGCCGTCGACGACGACGCGGGGGATTCAATGTAGCCATGAAGTCACAGAGGACTTCACCGGAAGTGGTTTTGGCCTGGGCGGAGCTGGTCGAGTCCTGGTCTGCCTGCGGTATATCTGCCTGTCTGCCTGCCTGCCTCACTGCCCGGTTGGATAGCTGCTGTTTCCGGCTCGACGCTATTGTGATCTCTAGCTGTCGTCAGAAGCTCTCACGACGACGACGACGACACCATAGCATGCGAGAGCAGCAGCCGACAGACCTGGAACAAGCTCCACGTGTCTTGCAGAGCTATTGGGTGACCCGAAGGTTATTTCTCATGGAGTACAGGACAACAGCAACTCCACAACTCAGGCAGCCGGGGGGAAGGAAGCTCACGTGAGAGGGCGGACATCGGCAGGAAGTATTAGTAGGGAGACGGCTCCGATGGAAGTTTTTGTGAGCTCCTATGGAAAAACCACAGGAGCCATGATGACTGCCCGAGTGACTGAATAACCGACGGCCCGCCCGCTAGCCTGGCGATCGTCTCTCTCGACCACAAGCGAAAGCAGCGCTGACTCTCGCTAGAGCACGAGTATGATTCCTACCCAGCCCGTATAATTTCTATTAAGAATATGTAAGAAAAACTTCTGAACTCTGTCGTACATCTCTTCAGGAGAGCGTGTTTTATTCTTTCTCCCCTTCGGATAGAAAGCGTTTCTATATTCCCCGGCGCCAGCTGCAACTCTCACTCGAAGCAGTCGCACTTGAGACGAATTCGGTGAAGCGAGACGTGGTCCTCGAGCTAACGGACGGAAACAACCAAATCGTGCCCAGAAAAGGTCCGTCGTTCTGCTTGTGGTGGATTGCTTGTTGACGCTTCCGCGTCAAGAAGCAAGCGTCGTGTCACACAATCGATGGCACCGCCTGCCAAAAAGCCCGTCTGCTCGCCTGGCCGCACGCTCAGCGGCGCACTCAAGCCTCTGCGGCAGCAGATGCAGGGTGCAGGTTGTGGCAAAGGTGATGTCGACGGTGGCAAGACATCAGAAAAAGGCCTTTGTCTGTTTCTTCGGCTCGGAACGTTCGGCCGGAGAGTCAGCAGCAGCAGCGACGACAACAACGACGGCGCCGTGAAGAAAGGGGACGACGACAGACAGCAGGTGGATAATGTTATACAAAGAAGCCCCTCCTCAACGAAGGCGGTGTCCCCCGTCCCCAAGTGTGCGCTCGCTCCCCGTATTGGAGAGCGAGGGCAGACGGCGCCATCCGGCTGACCGACCAAGCGACCAACCACCCTGCTAGCAATGCTGCTGCTGCTACTGCCTCTGCTGTGGTGGCGGCAGTGGCGGTGGTGATGGAAGAGGAGACGACGACGACGACGACGACGACGACGACAATGACGGTGGTAGCAGCGGTGGCGGAGGCTGTAACGACAATGCCCCGAGCCGGCGCTAGCTTGGGAGCCAACTGGTTCCCGCCTGCCCACCTGAATGCCGTCCCGCCCGCTCGCTCGCTTTCACTCTATCACCTTCGTGTGGAGAATGTATTCACTGCAGCCATCCATCCAGTCGCGGAGAACATTCTACAGGAGAGCGACGATGATCTCCCGCAGGCGGAAGATTAAGTCGATGAATCTTAGTTAGTGCTCGGCCGGCGAGAACGGAGCTACGCATCGGGATTCAGAGGAGAGAGGCGGGTAGTCGCGCTCGAAGCGGACAAAACGTCGGATTGAACCGAGAAGGAGCCGAATTCATCGAAAGAATCCCTCGAAGCCCTTCCCCTGCTCCAGGAGCTGGTCAGCTGATTTTCTTCCCTGGTTTTTCGAAATTTCATCAACATTTAGCAAAAAAACGAAACACCAACCGAAAGCGAAGACGGTGCGTGCAAAGCTCCAACGGGAAGATCGGCGTACGACGAATCAATGAACGTTCACAAACGGTGGCTTTTAGCAGGGTGGATGCGAACGGTAGACACAATCCTATGCGCGAGTTTATGGGGACTTCGACTCGCTATTCTTTTTTACTATGATGAACGCGGCGACGACGACGACGTCGGAATAGAATGTCGGTGCCATTAAATTGACCTCTGGCATTGAATGGCGCTCGTTGTGCGAGCGTCTCCGTCGCTGTCCTCGTTGTCGTGGCGTTCTTACCGTTAATGGATACACACGCTCACGGGGGCTCACGTATACGCTGTGGTAGAGATACCCGTTCAGAGATACGTCAAGATATATGTCGATTGATAGCATTGAGTGCTCGTGGCGGTTCAGCGAACGAATGGAGCCAGCGTATCATGGGTCACAACGAATTACAATCGAACTCGCCGAGGCCGCTCGGAAACACGGAGTTTGAATGTTCGGTCTCCTGCGATTCTCGAGCCAAAACCCCATCGGTGGTCGGAGTTCGCGTGGTTTCACGGCCAGCTTCGATCTTGCAGCCACACGACTGGCAGCTACAACATCGTGCCTGCGGCCCCGACCTTCCACGAGCTGAAATGAATTCAAGCTAGCACTCATTCAACGCTCGGAGCCAACGACAATAAAGTCAGCGTTGGTGTGCAGACCTGCAACAACGCACGATTACAGAGACGGAATGACATGACAGGGCCATGAGGATTGGCCGCGGACGTCATGCAAAGCGGAGCGAAAGCTCACGGCGACACCCTGCGAGAAGGATAGATAGACAGACGAAGTCAGAGGTAAATTGATTGCGGCACTTGGTAAGACCGACCAATTACGAGCAAACGAACTAACGAACACACAGAGAGCATGTAGTCGTCATACGGACACGAGAGGAGCGTGACTGCAGGAGTCACGATTCCAACCCCAGCTACAAATGTTTCAGAGCTTTTTGCTTGCTTGCTCATCCGTCTGTCGGACAGTTCTGAATGCGTTCGTACATTTTGGATTCATTCATTCAGACACCTCGTAACAATGATACACCTCTGACTTTGATGATGCTGCGCGAAGCCAACCGAGGTGACTGACTATACAGGAGCTTTCATTTGCTGATCTCATTCGGTGGTCTTCGGGACGATAAGCAATAAAAAGTACCCATAACGGGATTGGGAGAAAATGTCTCCCAACAGGAAATGTAATCGATGGCTGGATCAGCTCTCGGATTAGCAGCGTCGGAGTCGCTTCCGAATCGGTCTCGTTCCCAATTCGGAAAAGTCTCGCTCGAGGGATTCTGGCGGATCTTCCGCGAGATTAGCCAGGCGAAGGTCGGGCTACGACGTCGATCAACCAGTCATGCACGCGGCCACGGATAGATCCACTCGAAACAGTGCGCAGGCTTCCGCCCTCCATGGGAGACTCTCTTGAGAGGCCTCCCTCAATTCGGAGAGCCGAGATAAGCGGAGATTAATGGCGATTCGGTGGTCGATATCGCGGCTGTCCGCAACTCCACGGGAACAGATAAGGAATCGAGAAAAGCAACGAGTTACAGCTGTTTCGTAGTCTCCCTTTGCTTCCCCTCTGGCCTCCCCCGGCGACCGCCGAAGTGAATTTTCCTCTAAAAGGTCCGGAACAGCATCTTGCTGTCATTTTGTCCAAACAATATCTTCCGTGTGAGGCTGTTGGTTTGCTGACACTAACCAAACATCCAGGCAGAGGATCACAGGACAAACAGCTCCTCCTTGTTTTTGAACACTCTCCGCGTCGGCTGCACCGTAGCGGTGTCGCCATTTTCGATTCCTCTCAAAATGTTTACGCGATTGATTCGTGCCAAGCGCCAGACGACTCGATCGCTTCGCCTCCGCTATTCATTTCGGGAGTCTTTCGACACGTATCCAAGGGAATTAGGAGCAGGGCACGGCCCGGCGAAAATCCGCGTCCCTGGAGAATGCAAACGAGTCGTTCGGGATGGAGCTCCCGGGCAATGTATTAATTCCAAACTATCGAGTGCGCTTTGCAAGAAATACGCGTATTCGATGAAAAACCGCGGTAATTGACTGCGGTAAATATTCGATATCTCCCGCGGGGTCCCGTGTTTGGGGGAAATTTCGCTCGATAACCGCTGTTGCAAAGCCTACTCCCTTATTACTAGCCTTCTATTGAGGCGAATACGACTTACAATCGAAGAATTTCGCTCTCGGAGCGCAAGGGGAGAATTCAGTTTTCGAGGCGTTCGTGTTATTCATTCGGAACCGGAGATGACAAGCGGATCCAAGACAGTCCGTCCGTACAGCGTTTCCATGTTTTTCCCGGACTGACCTTGATTCGATCCTCAGCTTGACTTGAAACGGACCGCTCCTCGATTCGAGCAGCTTAGACCTCACATGTGTTGTCAGATCCGGTTATAGCAAGCTTGACTGCGGGTTGGACGAGTTGCGAAGAAATGCGGAGATTTGTGCTCAAATGTATATTTTTGCTCCGATTCTCCCAATCTTACATTCGCCCATACGGTTGCCCTGTGCTCTAATGTGGATTCGTCAGCGGAATCCATGAGCTATCGAAGGAGCTTAGTTAGCTATTCAAGGTTACAGATCGCGGCAAACGTCGGAGAGCTGATTGAAGCGTTCTTTCCTTATCTCTTTGAAGAGCGACATCAAAGCCACTGCGGTTTGACTCTTCCTGATGGTTGCGTCACGTGTGGTTTTCAGAGCTATTCTTGGATTGCGCTAGGTCCCACTCGAAGAGAAGAGGAAGAAGAAACCCTTCGGCATTTGTCGCACAGATGGTCGCTGATCTTAACCGGTAGATTGTAATGTTCCGCGTAACGATCCGCATCCTCCTGCGTAGCCACTTGTTTGGATCTACCCTTCACTCGGTGAGTGAATTTACCACATATCACACACTTGAAGAATGGCATGGTGCTCGACGTGGAGTCTCGGGCTAGACTTCCTCGGGGAGGAGGTTCCTAGTTGGGTCTCCTCCACTGTCGCTCAGTCAGCCTCACCGAGGCGACCCTGAAGTTCCTATCTCGACACTCCCGAACCCGTCTCAATCAATGAGAGAATGATTCCGCCGCGATGGCAGCTAACTAGCAGCGAATCTTTGAGCGGTCTCTTCGTGATTAATGATGCGTCCTCGTATGAGGACTCTGAGGCGTCGCTACCCGCGTCTCCCTGTTTTCATCACGAGCTGGCCGGTTCGGCGGGAAGAACCATCCGAGTTTGTTTTCGCGCCGGTACGGCCGCAGCTCGAGCGTCAGCGCGCAGAAATTCAAAGCTGCGAGGAGCGAAGTTGATCGGCCCGCCCTCTTCTCGGGATTCCGAGGGAAACCTCGAGGACACGAAGCTTTGCCTGGTCCCCTCAGTCCCGAACCGGATGACCAGGGGGTGCAATCAAAAGCTTCCGGCGTCGGCTTTCAGATTCCAAGCTCAAAAACGGGCTCCCGGCGCTCGTTTCGGAGTATTCTGGCGAAAAAGCGGCCAATCGGGAAAATTCCAGAAAAATAGGGGTTATGGCCCGGGTTAAAACTATGTTTTGAGATAAAAAAGCAACACTTCGACTTTTTCCGATATGATTTCTAATGGTCAGGGTGCAGTTGGGACCTTTACCTGGCGAAGTTTGAGAACGGAGCATCAGAAAACTTGTGTCCCTTTTTGTCAAAGCCAAAGAAACGGCCGAATCTGTCGAGAGGGATTTCAATCGCACCATCGCTCGAAATTCCCATCGAAATGAGAACCCACTCGATCGGATCGGCTTCAGAGGGCGGCATTTCGCTAGTTTTTCCCCAGACCCTTCCTGCGTCAATTTATCAGTTCCGTCTCGATCCTGCTTGATGCCTGCTCAAAATGACCTCCCACATCTTACGCCGGGGGCTGCTCGCTTTTCGGAAGGAGCAGCCGGCACAGAATATTATTCAGGGACATATCAGACGAGCCCCGGCTCAGTTGCGGGGGAGAATGAAGTCCTCATTTTGACCTCGGGACTGCATCGCCTCGACAACCGAAAGTCGCCGACCTTCGAACAGATCAGAATAGAGATCCTGAGTCCCGAAAACAAGTTCTCTCGACAAGAACACAGAGAGCTCCGCTCTCTCATCCCCGAGTCGAATGCATTCTGGAAGGCGCTCAGAATATGGTTCCGATTTATCCAGCTGTAGAATCTTTTTGCCGAAGCGAACCGGCAGCGAACGATTCGGAAGAATATCCGAGTCTGACAGAATCCCAAACGTCGACTCGAGGAACCGACGCGATGTATTCTGGAGATGTCCACTTCATATCAACCAGTCGGGTATTTCCAGAAAAGCGGCGAGGGCTCTCATTTTGAGGCGTTTTCAAGTTCAGCTGCACGATCGTTCCCTTCTCCGACAAATCTGTTCACTGAGATATCCTCGCTCGAAACTCTTTCTCGAAACAAGGCGCTATTTGCATTTGGATTCACCGCACATCTCGAGAGGGCTTTCGAATCTGATGCGCTTTCGACTTCTTCGTTCCAAGCATATTTATCTTCGTCCCCGGTCTTAATCTCGTCACGGGGACACGGTCAAAATGCAACCGAAAGTCATCTGTAGGTCGAGAGGGTGCCTCTTCGAACATGTTTCCCACTTGCTGGTTCTCCCGAATTTTTTTGTGGATTCCATTAATTTCGCGTTCGGTCGCGAACGGATTCAGAATCGAAACATCGTCTGCCAGCGACCGATTGAGCGAATCGTTGGGGCAGGAAATCGACGAAGAAACCAAAAACCATCGACGGATGCAACGACACGAATGCTTATCTCTTTCTGATAACGTTTCAGGTTATTCGGCGCCAAGTGCTCGAAATGTGGATTGAGTTTTAGTCGTAGTGATTTTGTGATGAGAGCACGAGGGAAAATTTTCCACATCGACTGCTTTCGATGCATCGCATGTTCGAGGCAACTCATACCCGGTAAGTTGGAGAACTTTCAGTGCATCTAAATATCCGAGCTCATAGCCCCGGAATCGGAAGAGGAGATACGGTTATTGGATACCCCGCAGTTATTATGAATTGGAAACCGCAGTACGTCCGTGCGCGAGACCAGTCTCACTGACTCAGAGAGATTCCTATTCCGCAGGTGACGAGTTTGCGATCCGGGAAGATGAGTTGTTCTGCAAAGCGGATCACGACGTTTTAGGTGTGGGCGGCTTGGTAGGGGGCGTCGGAGTGAGCGCTGAACTTAAACAAGAGACGCCGCAGTCTCCGATGCCCCTTTCGCCGTCGAAGACCACCACGAGCAACAACGACATGAACCAGTACTACTCCGACGACTCCACGCACGGCTCTTCGGTTGTCTATTCTTCGGTAAAAAGCGAACTGAGTAAGTTCAAGTCTCCCCGACGTTTTTCCCCGTCCGCATGTGCATGTAGTGTATTCGTCCTCAGGTCGCCGTCAGGAAACGCTCACTGCGAGGGCAAGTCAGCTGTGTCTATCCGATCCGATAACTTCACGAGCGGTCGCACTTGAAGAGAGATTCTCCAGGCAGGAATGTAGGTAGTAGGGTTGATGGACACACCCATACCGGGGAAGGTGGATAGCGCGTAGGCGGTGTGGATAAGGTAAACCGAGCAGAAGCTTACTCACTTAGTCGCAAGCAAGCAAGCGAACGAGCGCGCCTCGACTTGGTAAGCAGTCGACCACCCAGTCAGCTCCAGAATGGAGTCGCTTTAATCTGCTTAGCTTTATGGCGGTGGGAGATTTCAGCCGGCGCCACCGTGAAGGCGACGGGAGGGAATTTCGCCTGGGAGCGAACAGGTGGGACCCAGATGGGGGGGGGAGAGGAGAAAGGGAAAAGAGGCTAATATGGGAATGGCAGTTGTGGACAGCCAATTGACAGATTTCGGGATTTCCGAAGGGTATTATCGCGGAGGTTCTTCGTCGAATTGACGACACACGCGACCGACCTTAACATCGAGAGAGCCAGCCAGCGAACTGACGAACGACCGACTCACCGAGCGATCCACTAGCAGCCGACTAGGCAAGGGTGTGATTGAAAATGATGAGGCTTGTCGACGCTCAGAGAAACTTCCCAAATGATCGCGTTGGTGAACTTTGCTGAATTTACCCTGCTGCCTTCACGAAGAAGTTATTGAAGCCCCACAACAAACTCACGATATACTTGGCATGGCTTGGAAAAACAAGCGAATGGTCAGAACCGCAGTGCCCCTCCCCAGCCGCCATCCTCCTCACGGGGTCTGTTTCTTGTCAGATCGAATGTGTCACGGACGGAACTCCCCACTTGATACTCAGCCCCTGTAGGTCAATCCACAAAGCGTTCGGGAAAAGTGTCGTGATTGACGGCAAGCGTTTTGTGCCGAGGGTGTCGTAGTTCCGCGGAAGGGTTTTCAATTTGAGACAAGTTGGATCTATTCTCGCTCAGTTGACTCGACGGCGGCGAACTGGAGTTCAGAGGTGGCTTGTTGTGATGAGTTCGCGTGACTGCGGCATCTGAATCGCTCACTCGGTATTAACTCCATTGTGATGCGGTCGTCGTCGTGGTCGTAACCTCCCAGTTGTTGGTCGGCAACGCCTACTCCACTGATCCTGGATTAGTATAGCAAATAAACCCCCATTCAACACCGAAGGCTTCGTGTGGCTCTGGGAGAGTGAATGAGTTTCGGTCTGTCGGACAGTCTGCTCTGAGCGTGACAAAAAATGCTCTATTTCACATGGTGTACAGAAGAGAGAAAGAAGATTATGCCGGACAGTGGGGCGAGAGGTGTGGAATCAAATCAGCTAATTTGTCCTCTGTCGGACGTACGATGTGAATGATACTGTCTGAGGCTCCGGCCATGGCGGAACGCGGCAGAGGAGGGGTATGTCTTGCCAATTTGAGAGATTGCTCATCTTTAGTCGAAAAACGATGCCACCTAGCGGGTCTTTGAGATCCTACGGTTTCTTCCGCTGCTGAGTCCATCTACTACTCATCCAATCGTCATCGTGTCCCTTGGACCTCGATTCAACGAATGAAATGAGTTTTCAAATCGAGAACACGTGCCCAGCGACATCGTCGGAGCCCTCTTCTTTGCATCAGCTCGGACTTTTACTAATCAGTTCTTATCATCGCCCTATCGTCGGTGAGGGTGTGAACGTGCCGCCGAGCGTGCCACTACCTCACACCGAAATCGAGTAGTCTCCTTGTTTCTCTGTGCACGATTCATCTATATCGTGATTCTGAAGCGGGGTTCGTTACGAGGTGATGATGCCGAAGATAAGAGCTCGGCGATCACGCGAACTTCATCATTCTCCGACTCTTCACAATCAGGAACAAGGGTTGGACGAGAGTCATTGCGAAGTTTGATTCTCAGGACTCCCAGGGCCGTATTCGCGGCGTAATTTTCCGCTTTGCTTTCGACGTTGACGGAGGCCATCCGGGAGCTCGCTCTCGAGCAGTGTTGACAGTTCGGGAGTGTGCCGCCGTCGAGGACGGTTGCGAGACTGAGCGAAAAAATGTCTCGACCCAATAGCCGCTGCGTCATTATTGCGAAGAATCGAGGATCGAGGCTGGATCATTGCTGGGTCACTGTCCGAGATGCTCTGGAAAATCGTTCGCACCGTGACGGCCCGCGATCGCCCCCCGTGTCGCGGCAGAAATTAGTGGCAAAGTATGCACAGGACGTGTCTTTCGAAAAGCGCAAAAAATCAAACCGTGATACATGTTGTGGGTAAAGAGAGGACGTCAGCCGGATATTGAACGAGCTCGTTAGCTTTTTCTTGTCAGCTCCCGATAATTATGAGGTCGCAATCTACGCGCTCGCCGCCCTGCATCAACGGGCGCAGCAACGAAGGCGGCGTCGGGCTGTGTGAAGGTTTTTCCAACGGGGTCGTGTAAAGCTGTGTGAAGGTTTTTCCAACGAGCTCGTGTTTACTGCGATCCTTAGCTCGTGCGACAAAGAGTCCAGACTGGCAGCGAGCGGCTGACGAGTCATCCACAATCTCGCGTCACGTAGAACTCGTTAGAGCTCTAAGCCTGAGCTAGGCCTGCTTGTCCGCTCGGTCGCCGTTTGCTCGTCCGCTCGTTCATCCGACCAGGCTGGTCGGCTGCTTCGCTCGCTCGCTCACTCACTCACAGACAGGACTCACAGTCCGCTTGCTTGCCTGCGACGACAGTGGGAACAGTCCAAGGGAGGGTGGTGTCCTGAAGCAAAAGCGTGTACTATGCAGCCCTGTAGGCGAACACAGCCGGCTGGCCGACCAACAAGCGACACTGTTACGATGAGTAGGCAAGCCTGCTCCAACGACACGCTGTCTGCTTTTATTGAAATAACATCGTGGGCTTATTCAGTTTTCAGTGGCAGTGCGCCTGGCTGCCCGCCTGCCTGCCCACTCGGCCACCCTTCGCTCGTCTGCCCGTGGACGAAACGTTCCTGTGCTCATCAGTAGTGTGGGAACGAATATGTGCGACGATGTGATGCGATCCTCGCTCGCCAACACTTACGCACGCACATACTCGGTCACTTGCCTATTCGTACCACATTCACGTTTAGAGTTGAGTCGCGTGTCGAGCCCTTTCTCGATACTCTTGACTCCGGGCGAAACTGATTCCTCGAATTCTCTTTCGCTCCGTTCGCTGATTTCTTCCAGAGGTGTGAAGAGCCTCCAATGCTCTCGGCCGTCCAATCGCCACTCGTTCGTAAGTGAGTGAGCGAACCCCCTAAAACCAACGTGCTTTGTTGGTTCAGATGCCGCAAATATTTACACACTTCTCTCGGAGCGACTTGCTCCTCCCCACCTCGATCATTCCAAGTTCATCATTGTCTCCTTCTCTGTCGGAGACTGTGTTCGAGGCCGCCGCCGCCGCCTCTGTAAGAACTCACTACCGAAGTTGTTGTCCTTAACTCGGAACCGATAGCCAGATAATCATCGTGTTGAACCGCTGGCAAACAACTACCGCTCCATACAATCTCTGTTTGCTCCAATTCGTCCGTCTCAAGGCACAGCATCAACACCTCTATTTTTCAATAAGTGTGCATACAAATTCTATGGCGACGACTCACGCGATAGTACTACGATTCAGTGTTCGGGTCCCGATCGTTCTCAACCACAAGCTCCGTGCATTGTACGTTCGACATATGGTCTGAGCGAGCAAACACGCCGTCTAATGTGTTTGATGATCATCGACATGGACAGGATAAGAGCGGTGAGTTTGGCCTCACTGATGATCTCATCAGTGCCTTCATCTGCCCGCTTCCGCAGGCGAGAACTTGGTGAGAAGTTCTCGATGTCGAATCGATGAATCCGAAAGTAATCGAGGGGAGTTTCTTCGGCATGGCCGGTTGAGGCTTGTCGGAAATGGAAAAACGACCAGAAGAGATACATATGTATGTATACGGGAATAAGATTTATGGCTTTGAACCCAGCCGGCCATCCATGTTTGGTATATAACACATCGGCAAGCGCAGCGTTTTTCGCATCGCTGCCCCTGTCGCTTCTAACCGGTGAGATAATGAACGACTGATAAATCCTCTCAAGATCCCAGTGCGTTCCCGCCTCGAATGGCGTGTGGTCGATGGGCTTGCTTGCCACTACGATGGTATTTCAGCCGTCCCCCGAGCCTAACGATCCGACTTTCGGTCGAGTGTCACCGATACAATTTTCTGTGTTACAATCGTGTCCGTTCGATTGTCTGCGATGCGTATATTATCAGCATGTCTATAAATGTGTCAACATGCCTCCATGTAATCTCTTCAGTTCTCTCGACGACCGCACTTTTTATCTGTCGCTTTCGTTCCGATCGTCGGATCGGCGAGCCAGTCAAGCAAGCCAGCAAGCGGTACGAGAGCCGCTGAACCCTAATAGTCATGCCATTGGATTTTCGGAGCTTCCCATCGAATCAAACGTCACGGCCGGAGCTGAAATCTACCCGATGTCTTCGTTGTCGTTCATCTCCCTTCATTTTCTTCCACGGAAGAGCTACGGCGCCGTCGGCGAACAATGAGTTGTGAACGGTAGTTTCAGTCGGCTATCTTCTGTTCGGTGTCCGTATGGTTATCAGTGGATTGATCTGATTACTCGACAGCGGCTTCTCGTGGAGCTAAGGTGACCCGAATTGGGCGCCTCGGAGTCATAACTCCTCCATCAGGGAAGACATCGGCAGGATTTCATCGAGGCCAGCGGTCTGCAGCTGTCTGCCTTGAAGCTTCG